TTTAGAGATAAAAATAAAAAACACACTTAAACTATTCTTTTTTTTTTAGTTTCATACATAAACTATTGACAGTGTGAGTTTCATACATAAACTATCACTAATTAGTTTGAGAAACACACATCTCTCTTTTATTACACTCTCATCATGATGATAATTCACTCTCTTTTATTTAAAAAATTTGACACATCACACTCCACATGGATAAAACACTCCACCTTGATAAAAATTAAATAAATTATTAGTTTTAATATTTGTATTAGTTAAAGATTAAAGTATTACTATTCCCCACTCCACCACTTCCTCTCACCTTACCCCCTCCCCCCAACTTAACTTTTTAGTTTTTTTAAAAAATATATCTTTTATAAAAGTTTAGTAAAAGAAGTTCTTACTCCATCTCCCCCTCCCCCCACCCTCCGCAACTCCTTCAAATAATAATTTAGATATTATTTTAATATTTTTTTTAAAGATTATACCCCACCACACATAACCCTCTACTTTCAATTTTTTTTTCCTCGTTTTGTGTTGAAATTTTAAAAAGTTTTGTAAAAAAAGTTCTTACTTCATCCCCCCCCCCCCCTCCAACCCCCCATCAATCCCTTCAAATAAAAAATTTCTCATTTTGTGTTATATATATATTTGCCGCAAGACTTTTTTAAAAATAAATTTTTATTTTTGTTATATATGGTACGCAAGTACAAAAAATATTTTTCTAAAAGTATATGTATGTATCTAACACAAAATGAGAAATATGTAAAAAAAATAAAAAAAAAAGGAGCGGAGGGTAAGATGGGTGGAGTAGAAATTTATTTTTTTACAAAAATAAAAATAATATCAAAATTTCTTTTAGTAAGGAGGGGGAGGGGAGGAGGGGTGAGGTCTGAAATTTTTAAAAATATTTTATAAAAGAAATTTAAACAAATAATTATAAATATTTTATAAAAGAAATTTAAACAAATAATTATAAGGAGGGGAGGAGGGGAGGAGGGGTGAGAAAAATATTTTAAATTTTATTTTTTAAAAAAAATAATTATTTTTTTAAGGGTAAGAATACATTAATCTTTAGCTTTTCACTAATATTAGTAGTTTATTTAATTTTTGTCAAGTTGAAATATTTTATCCATGTAGAATGTCATGTGACAAGATTTTTACAAATAAAAGAGATAGTGTATTACACACGATGTGTATTTCTCAAACTAATAAGTGACAGTTTAGATATGAAATTCAGACTTTCAATAAAATTATTTTACTTTCTATAATTCGAATATGAAATCTTTAATTGAAGAATCTCAATCATCTATAATTCAGTCCTAGCCCAGATTAGGTTCATTAAAGATAATGTGTTTCAATAGTATTTGATGTATATTTAGGATCCTATGTAGTCAATTTTTTTGTTTTGGGATGCTGAATTATGTGATTTCTTCATCTGAAATTAAATTAATGGAGAAAATATTTTTTTGTTGCCTAATTAAGTCTTCTATATGTTTGTAAACATAGGTGTACAATATAGAACTGAAAATCGGGTCAAATAAAAAAAAAATTACTAGTGATTTGATTTGACTTGATTTCATATTGAAAAAAAACCCAATTATACAAGGGTTGATTTGATTTTAACTAAAAAAAATCAACCCCAAACCATGCCAATTTGACATTATATATATAATTTAAAATTTTCATCTTTTACATTAAAGTATTTACTTTAATATAATTTCTAACTATTTCTTATATTTTTTCATAGTTTTTATCTTTTAACTTATTATTTCAAGTTTGATACTTAGAATTTTAAATTGTTCAATAAAGATAACTCTAATAAAGCTCAAATCAAAATCAATTTAATACTAATACTAGAAAAAAAAAACAATTCAGCCCTAAGTGGGCCGTTGATACAAAGATTAATAATGTAAGAAATAGCAAGTTGAACATTGAATACATGTTCTTTAGTTTTACATTGATTCAACAATTACAATACATAATCTAATTTAATTCATTAATATTTAGTTGTGATTAATTAACACTTATTAATACTTATAAATTATAATCATTTCCATTATAACTTATTAATTTACAAGATTTCAATTATTATTTTTTGTTTAATATATTGATTTTATCACTTATCTCATATTTGATGTTATTCTTATAAGAAACACTTTAAATAGTTGTATTTTGACAAGACTAGAAAAACATTTAAAACACAAGTTAATTATATGTTTATCTAAATATTTTATCAAAAAAACCCTTAAAAATCCAAATTTACTAATTTGATTTGATTTATAGATTCAGAAAATCAACACAAATGATTTAATTTGATAATTGAAAACCCCAAACCAACTCATGCTAAACGAGAGGAATTAAATTCAAATTCATAAAATAATTTGAACTACATTAAATATAAATATACCAGGTGTAAATATAAGATTTTCGTGGTGTAAAACGGGCAAGTATTTAATTTTAAAATATAGGAATGCATGTCCAAACTAACTCACATTATACGAGTGTTTTAGTGCAATTACCCCATACTTATAATCGACTAGTTACAGTGACATCAACTTTTTACTTGTGGAAGCATTATTAGACAACATCATCCCTCTCGGAAAAAACTTTTCCCCACCGGATGTTTACACCAAGCCAATGCAATTTTCATTATTACGTGATTTAATGAAGTAAAACACATGTCAATTAATTATGGTTAAGTAAAATGAACTATAAGTTTAAACACATGGCATGCATGTATTGACTTGGTGTAAACACCCGGTGCGGATAAGTTTTACCCATCCTCTCCCTAGTTCAATTGTGTTATGTAAGTTATAATTTAGAGGCGGGATGGAACTGTCGTGCATTCTGACAGTACAACAAGCCCGATACATGAAATTTCTTAAGAAGAATTTGGCCTGCATTACATCTTTCCAGGCATGAAGAGCAAAGAACTCTATTGGACACCAACATCAATAAGCAGCCAGCAGCTAGCTTACCTACATCAGGAGACAAATAGAACTAACAAGAGACCTTCTGAAATGGGGGAGCCATCCCTGCTGCTATCACAGTACGCGCTACTAACAACCAACTTAAAGAAGTTAGTCTAGAACGGAAGGATTAATTAAAAAGGAAAAAGAAACAAAACCATTCAGCAATAGTAAACCTATATCCAAAAATACCAATTGCTTAACAGAAATACTAAGCTTCCATGCATTATCCAAACTCACCATACCCAGGCTAAAGTTCAGCTACTCAACATCTCAAACCCCAATACAGCCCTATGCAAAAATATGATCCACCATATCAGAAGCTTAAATAGTCCTACAATCTTGGCCAAGACATTTATTGCACAAAGCAGCAACAACTAGTACACCTCAACCCCAAGCAAGATGAGACACAAAACCCAAAACTCAAATGACAAACTCCCAATCACCATGACAAAAAGTTCATGATTCAAAGGAAGTTAGAGCAAGAACAAACCCAAATTCAAATGACACACAAACCAAGAGAATCAAGTTGTCAAAAGTACCATGCAAAAATGTAACCCGTGCATCCACCACTAGGACCAATCAAGACTTACATCAGACAGATCAAAACACAAGGTAGAAGGGACAAACCAGGACCAGGGAAAGGAAGGAAGAGCTGATAATATCTTAATAGCATAGGTGGCAGCATTAGATAACAAAAACAACAAGCCACTTCATCAAAGAGATAACTTAAGTAAAATGTGTTGCTAAAAATTCTAAAGGGAACCAGACAAATTGTAGGGTAATATAAAAACTTTTGAGTGATACTGCATACATGAGAGACTTTTGATTAAAAGTCTTTGAAGAAAATTGTAAGAGAACACCTAGACAATATAAATGTAAACCATTCTTTTTGATAGGCAAAATTTAAACTATTTTTATCCGCAAGCAATCTTTTGAATCCAATGAGCATCAACATTCTCCCGTATAGCAGAATTGCAGTTTTCAACTAATTAGAATGTTGAGACCAATTGATTCCAATGGACATGAAATTCAGATTACACAAATATTTGTCTCAAGAACTCCAGACATTGGTGGATCCCAAACAGAAATATTAAGGCATTAACGAACATAGTTCCTAAGATGAGAACCCACAAGAAGCCATGTCTCGAGTTCCAACCAAAAATATCCACAGTTAATTTGTGAACACTTGGGGACAACATCCCACCCAACTTATTTCCCCAAAAATTACTAAATAAGTTAACATAAGCAAATTACATCTCAAGAGAATGATTGAATGAGAGCAAAGCCTTGAAGAGCTAAAAGTAGAAAAACCACTTCTTAGGGAGATGTAGCTTGAAATGTCTGCAACTACGTTTTCACAAGCACAAAAGAAGAGTTGGTACAAATATATTCATCCTCACAAGGTCTCCTATTTACTATGTGATTCGCCACTCTTCCTGCTAGTGCATTTTGTTTCTCTAAAACTTCCGAGCCACAAATCAAAATCTAAGATAATAATGTCCAAATTCAAAGTGACCCCCCCCACCCCACCCCACCCCCCCAATAAAAGGTTCATAGCCAGGTTGGAAATGTCCTAGTTTAGCCCATCACATTTAAATGCTACTCATTCTCACTTCTCCCTGATGGGCTTCAGTTAATTCCCATTGCACAGAGAACTTTCTTGATAAACATCACAGAATCCAAAATAAAATTCAAATTAAGATACCCAACAGGATAAGTGATTTAAGACACAAATCAGTCCAGCACAGGATAATACATTCCAATACAAGCATCTTTTCCTGTCACAATACATCTGAAAAATGTATCAGAACGAGTAATCAAGTTAATTCGTAGACATGTGAATGCAGTCATCACACTATCAAATTCACATACCCTGGGAACCTTGAAAATTTGAAGATGCATCACCTTTTGGGAGGAATAGCATAGGCAAGCATCAGGCTGCTTTCTGAACTCTCAATAGTTAAATGACCCCAGAAAAGTAAAAGAGATAACCAAGTTAAAAGAGAAAAGCAAAGGAGATTAGTGGTGAAGAAGACGAGGTGGAGAGAAACACAAACTGTCAGTGATTAGTCATCAAGAAAATTCAACAAATCATTAAAATAAAATTTGAAAAACAACGCTCGAAGCCAATCCCCAGAAACGAATCCTACAAAAAGCATAATTAATATCCATAATCCACTGATTTAATGCTCCAACACAAGCTGAATGAACTGAATGTCTCATCTCTCTGCATAACAGTACAACAAGGTTAAAGATGTGAGTCCGAAACTTCCAACAACTAAGTCATGGCAAGAGGGAAGAAATCAGGTGAAATGCTCCAACACATCAGCCTGCCAAATATTACAACGTTAACAAAGGAGAAGCGTTAAGAATGAAAATTATGAAGTAACAAATAATTATGAAATGCTCACTGCTCCCAAAAAAAATAGCGAACAGAAAGGGGAAGAAAAAAAGATGAACTAAAGATGGGCACAAGGTTTGAATATAGATACTTGCAATCAGGAAGAATCCCATATCTTTCAAGAATTCATGAACATACAAACCAATACACACATATTACGTATATATAGAGAGAGAGTCAGGTTGGTGGAGAACAGAGCCGGCGAAAATAAGGCATCCAAATTAGAGCGGCCCAATTTTTAGTAATAATAGAATTATTATAAGTTTTAAAAAAAAAAGAAATTGCACTGCCCCATTTTAATTTATGTCTTACTTTCCTTTTTAGTTCATTTCAAAAAGAATTGTTTCTTCTTCTTTTTTTTTGGTCAAATTTTAAATTTAACTTTGAACATGTCACATGTTCAAGACTACAATATGAAACGACATTTTGGTGTATTATACATTTCTTAGTTTAAGACCATAAATTCAAAAATCTCCTCTACTATTTTAAATTCCGTTTCAAGTCAAAATCCAACACTAGAAAAATAGACTTCAAATTAAAAGATTTAAAAAGAATCAAAATTTAAGATGTATGCATACTCGCGTGAAGATGAGGATGTATACATGTGTAAAAAAGTGAACACCAAACAGCACACAGAGGAGACCAAATAGCAAATTTGGAAACAGACTTGGTAAGAAATTTCCACCTAATAGTGCAGGTGATACAGCAATTGCATCATGACTTCATTTCTGACATGAACTTCTCATACTCTGCATCCGCGCCATAAGCAGGCTTCTCCGCTGATGATGGAGGTGCATGAGTTGGTGGATTTGGAGCCCAGGGAACATTACTCATACCCTGTGAATAGTTCCCATTGGACTGGGATGCAGATGGAGGAGGAGGTGGTGGTGCAACACCATAATAAGATGGATAGCTGTATGATGATGTTGGGTATGCAGGTTGAGCATTAGGTGGCATTGCTGTGACAGAATTGCCATAGACACTCTGGGATTGCAGTCCAGGAGGATAGCTTTGCTGTGCCTCAACAGGAGACGTATAAGTTTGTTGGTTTTCACCAGAAGAAACAGTCTGAGCAGGGGCACCAGAAGATGCTGTTGGAATTGAAGGAGGATACTGCATTCCATATGGAGGGATGGGTTGACCTGCAACAGGAGGATACATGGCTGCGCCAGGAGGAGGAGGTGGGTACTGGGCATATGGAGGAGGCACAGGTGGCCCCCATGGAACTGGAGCACCAGGTGGGGGATAGCTACCAGGGGGAGCATTGCCAATGGGACCACCAGCTGCATACTGCTGGGATGGATATGCGCCCATGCCCTGATTAGGAACCGGATATGAAGGCATTGCCGGAGCAGGTCCTGGAGGCACAGCAGGCTGAGGCGGCTTACCTGCAACTCTCACAGCAATGGTTCTTCCGTCAAGACGGTGGCCATTCATGCTAGTTATAGCACTATTAGCTTGTTGAACATCCGCAAACTTAACAAATCCGTAACCTTTACTCAGACCACTTAGACGATCTTTTATAACTTTAGCCATCACAATGGTACCAAATGGAGAGAATAAATTGATCAAACCGTCATCTTCAAGAGTAGGTGGCAAGTAACCGATGTACAAGTTTGTCTCGTCAAACTCCTTTGGCTTTAGCATACTTGACCCTAAGCCAGGATGTGAACTGGCACCAGCACTATTATTGCTTGCCCAAGGAGGATTGCTTCCTGAGTTTCCCGCGCCAAGAGCTAGCGTTGCTGAGTTTTGCTTTGTTAGTGATTCAGGAATGGTACCTCCCAACTCTGCGAGAAAATTCTGGTACTCATCATCCATTTTCTTGCCGGTAGTATTTTTCACTGGACAGTCGATAGTAGGATGTCCCCCATCACCACATATTTTACACAGAACTTCACTCTTAAAGGTGGTGGTGCGAGAAGGACATGCATACTGCCTATGCCCTGGTTCACCACATAGCCTACAAAACTCCTCATCTCTAATTGTTCCATTCAAAGCAGCAAGTTCCTTAAGCTGTTGCCTCTTATGTTCATTGAGCACTTCATCAACAGGCTGCAAGAGCTTCTCCACCATAGCCGCAGCAGCTTCAACGGACTCCTGGTTCTCAGCTTCCACTAACACATGCAAATCTTCATTGTCGGCAGGGTCAGGTTTTAAATTCCCCTTTTGCTGGAACCTACCCTCCTTGATTGACCCTTTGCCTCGAATTACAATCTTTGCTCCCGTCTCCTTTTCCATCCTCTTCTGAGTATTCCCTCTTGGACCAATAATCAGCCCAATAAAATTATAACCAGGGAACTCCTTCATGGGAATGTAGAGCTTCTTTTGAAGCTTGGGAGGCCTATAATCAGCAGGAGGCTTAAAAGCAGGGTTCTTCTTAATGATTTGTGATATAATCTCCTGTCTCTCCCTGTTCAACTTTTCTCGTGCGCGATATTCCCTGGTGTTTATACGAATTCCCATATTATCATATATAGGTTCAGGCGAAGGCGACCTAGCACCTTCAGGTCTATCATCTAAGGGCATACCCGATTGCAATTTCCTACTAATTTCAAGTAATCTACTATTAAGAGCTTGGATTTCAGGATCAAACTCAATACCTCCAGTGAAATCTTTCATGAAATCCGGCAATTGAATAACGGGTTTGGGCTCATCGTCAGCCCACCTCGACTTCCTCTTTCTTCCGGTCCCACTTCCATCACCGCCCCCGTTCCCATCATTGGTTGATTCAGTGGGAGGTGGGTCCCAACGGCTCCTCCGTCTCCTTCTACTGCTGGTTTCTTCCTCACCGCCTGATTGGTCCCTGTCGGTGCCGCTGTGAGTGTTTGTCACCCCGTTTTCCGACAATAAGGGCCTCTGAATCTCGCGCTTCAGAGTGAATTCACCGAGTTTTTGCTCCTCTGATGCTTGATTTGGACCGGAATTGTCAGAAGCGTGAAGTTGGGCATGGCTTAGTGATGAGTTGTGATCTAGGGTTTCAACTGAGGGAGATTGAGATTGGGAATCCATTGTACAGAAATGTCAATTATGGAAGGCAATACGGAACAGGGCGTGTATTTATAGACTTGACATTTTGTGGTTGTACCAAACCAGTATGTTTAGGTTTGGATATTATTCTATTTTTAGATAGAAAAAAGTGGGAAAAGAAAAAAAAGAATTAGAAAAATCAAACATTATTTTATTTTACTTAAAAAGACTCAATATAGTGATTTTGGGTTATAATTGAGTAAACAAAAATTAATCCAAGATATGCTTGTTTTGGTGGATGGTTTTTTAAAATTCTTTTGGTAAAAATAAGATATAATCAAATAAATTGTACTTTTGGATTTAAGGGTATATATTACTTAAAAATTAACGGTAAGAATATATATAACTTTAAAGTATAATGAAGAATATATGCATATCAGTTTTGAAATTTTGGAGGTATATTTGCCTTTCTCACTAACACTTTAAATTCTATACTCAATTTGATCTCCATCTTTGCATAATAGAGAATCGAGTAGAGAAGTTCGTATATATGTTTCTTCTCTACTTATGATCCTTCTTGTAGGTGTTTTCTTGTCTAGTTTTATTTTTGGGAAAATGGTCTGAAAAATATTTTAATTTTGGCTGAAATTGTTGTTACGATACCAAATTTTATGGAGGACATTTTACCCCTACACTATTTAATAGTGTATTTTAAAGGTATATATGTGCCACGTGGATATGTTACTATTTATAATTCTGCAATATTTATGATATCCACGTGGGCACATATATACCTGTAAAATACACTATTAAATAGTGCAGGGGGTAAAAGGTCCTTTCCAAAGATTGATATCGTTACAACAATTTCGGTCAAATTTCAGATATATTTCAGACTTTTTCCCTTTATTTTTTGTATGAAAAGTTCAGAGAAATTATTTGATGCTCGATTTTAGGTGGTATTGTTGATTAAAGTGTGGTTATTGAAGATTTTTCTTATTTATTGTTGATTTTAGGTTTGGATGGTATTGTTTTTTATGATTTTATTTATATGTATTTTTCATAAATCTGTTAGGAATTTATGCGTTTTTATGTTAAAAGACGTATTTAGTTTTTTCTAGGGTTATCTTTGTTAGGATTTTTCAGAGATTTGTTTCCTATGGCTTTACTTTTTTTTTCTCAAAGATTTGTTATGGGTGTGCATTTTAGGTTAAAGAAACTTAAAAGGGAATATTATTAATAGTAAATTATCGGTGCAACCTATCATTAATATTAGGAAACTATTTGGACTCAAACTCAACAATTGAAGAGTTTCATGCTAGCACAATATTACTAGTGTGAATGTGTGATGATATATGAGCCTAGGATTCGTACTATGTCATTATGAATTATCCTAAAAATATTTATACGTAAACCTTCTTAGAATATACAATTTAAAATCTTGAAATAATCATATAGCCGCAAAATAATTAAATTAAATTTTTCTCTTTTTCTATTCAGAATTTTTCTTTTTATTTCTCATACTTTCACACTAAAAATGAAAGAAAAATAAATAATTAAATAAGAATAAAAAACTCAAATAATAATAAGCAAATAGATCTATAAGGGAGATATTTAAAATTCAAACTAGCCATTGAATAAAAAAAATCAAAAAAGAAAAATCATGTCTGAGAAAGATCAAATATATCTAAAACTTTACTAGAAAAATCATATATACCCTTTACATTATTTTTAAAAAAATCAAAAATAAAAATAATTATGTAAAATTAATGTTTTCACTTTCATTAAATAAGAAGAGTAGAAGTATGTGTGAGTCACCTTTATAATGGTAAAGTTAAATCACAAAGTTGAGGGATATCAAGCCTTTTTCCCCTCATTTTTATATTGAAATCATGAGATATTTGTTGTGTTGGTATGTTAATTTGTTCCATGTCTATTGCTGTTAGGTGTGATATGAAAATTTATAGATTGCAATTAAATAGCAAAAACGAGTATAATAGGATTCGGATTAAGTTTGATTCAAGTTCATTACTATTTAAATTAATAACTTTAATTCGATTTAAGTTTTGAAATAGATGGTGTCTAGCTATTAATGATTTTTTTTCTTCTATATAATAAAATGCGTGAAGCAAAGCTCAAATGAAATCGGCACCCTAGTGAGGCTATATATATTTTGGGATATGATGAAAATGGTAGGCTAACAAATTCTTGAATGAAGCTTAAAACTTTACCAAAAGTAAAGCGATGTTACTCCCTCATTTTTTTAGCTTGGTATGCCACTTTTTTAAACGTTCAAAGACTTTGATAACTTGTATTTTTTTATTATTTTCTTCTTAAAAAGAAATATCCTTTAACAAAACTTTACATTTTCTTCAAAACAGGAAGCAAAAATCATTTTCATTAGCTTTAACATTTTATTCGAGAATGAGGAATAAACAATTTTTGGTTAACTTTTGTACTCTCTTCACCCGAATTTATGTGTCACTTTTCAAATTTCGAAATTCAAACAAGTATATTTTTTACCGTAAATTTTGCATACATCTTTTAAATATTAGAAATTATCAATTATTGTGACTTATAGTTCATTTCACATAGTTTTCACATATATAATATATTATTTTCAAAAAACTAGATTTTTTCATACCCAAATTCATGGTCAAACTTAAATAGTTCATACAATATTAATATATTAGGTATATATAATAATAAAAAATATGTACATAGTTTATCGATTAGACTCAACTTGATTATTTCTTCAAATTTTTCAAATAACATCAAAATCAAATCAAATATTATCAAATTTTAAAAATATAAAATCAAACTAAATCAAAATCAAATACAATTAATTTATTTAATTCATTTGATTCGATTTGAATAGATTTTCACCTAAACCATGAATACTGCTTATGACAACAGTGTCGATCTTCTTATCCTCTCTATTTTTTAAATAAATTATGTTCGGATGGAGTAGGTGAACAATTAAACAGTTTTTAAGTATTGTCTAAATAAATCTGACCATGTGATGACAGAATAAGTGAAGTAATTCATATTTACCTCCAAATTAATACATTTTTTTTTTCAACCCTTTTATTTTAAGAAAAGAAAGGGTAATAAAATTTACGTTTATGGACAGCTAAACCAATATTTAATATTTACTAAAACAATAGTAACTACTACTATTACATTTAATAAGTGATAAAAATATAATTAACTAATAAAAATGTATTCTCTCTAATAACAAGTGTTGCCAGCGAATTCGAATTTAAAAGGGAAAAAAAAAGGGACTATTGACTTTTTCGTAGAGCAAGCTGTAATGACGCGGCCCCTTATAATGGAGTGTGCTACCACCACTGTGAGGAAGCCAATCAAAGAGAAAATGCGGAGTCTCCACTTGCTCATTGCTGTTGCTTTCACTTTCTTCCTTTCAGCTCGTATTGCTGCAGCTGGTTCATCTGTAAGTCCCTCCCTCTTCATTTCATTTAACTAATTTAATGCTTTTCCATCGAAACTCGCTATTGATCATCTTTCTATTCCAGCTCTTCACTATTGATTGCATTGCTTTTCTAATGCTATTGATTCATCATCCAAATTCCATTCCTCCATCTGCTTTTTTTTTTCTTGCATTTTTAGATCCCTGCTCGTTGAGATCTGAATCTGTATTATTCATTTCATTACCCGTGAATTGATTCCTGAGTATTTGGATTTGACAAGAAAACATTGATTAACAATGTACGTGTTGCAGGAAGAGTGTGTGTATACTCTGTATGTTCGAACTGGTTCAATCATAAAGGGTGGAACTGACTCCAAAATCAGCGTTACACTAGGCGATGCTTCTGGAAAATCAGTATGGATTCCAGATCTTGAAAAGTGGGGTTTAATGGGTCCAAATTATGATTACTACGAAAGGGGTAATGTGGATATCTTCACTGGTAGAGGCAAATGTCTTAGCACACCAATTTGCAAACTTAATGTTACTTCTGATGGATCTGGTGACCACCATGGATGGTTCTTGGATTATGTTGAGACAACTTTCACTGGTCCTCACATGCAGTGTAGTCAAACCATATTCTATGTGGAACAATGGTTGGCTTATGATGCACCTCCTTATGAGTTGTCTGTTTCTCTTGATGGCTGTAAAAAGAAGAGTCGGCATCATGCTAGGCGTTTTGTTGTGGGTAATAAGCCCATTAGGTCTGCTTCAGAATAGTTTTGGCTTGTTGTGAATTCATCATGGAAACGTGAAATGAGAGCTACATGTGTGTTTTTGACTCTGTTTTCCTTCCAACTTTGTTGAAATAAAATTTCTTCTTTAAGACTTCCTTTCTTGTTTGTTTAAACTAAAAACTAACAGATACTTCCATAATTATTTAATCAAACGATAGTTGTACTAACTACGTACGTAGTTCTGAGATTAGTTCTAGATTCAACAATAGTTGTCCACTATATTATGTTCAATAATACTTGTCCACATTATGAAATCAATAGATAATTTCACACTTAGGGAATGTTTGGTGTGAAGGATAACATCAAATAGTCTTGCGATTAAATTATAGTGCCATTTAATTTGTTGTTTGGTCGGTAAGTTCATGATAACTTATTCGGGATTAATAAATTAGTATCGGGATAAGTTATCTCTCTCATTGTGTGGTATAATAATCCCAGAATAACTTATCCCGTGATAAAATAGATAAATGACAAAGATATCCTTTAAACTTCTTTTATACATTGCTTTTCACATTCATGAAGGGTATTTTTATAAATAGATAATATGTTCTTAAAATTTATGGAATGCATATTATTTTGAATATAACAAACCAAACACTCAATAAGAAATAATTTTACCATAACTTATTTCATCATAACTAATCTCATCATAACTTGTATTCAAACCGAAGGACTCCTTAGTTCCTAATTTATCGTTATCGTTAACTATAGTCATTTCTCTATTACATTTTTTAAGACATTATATTTAGTATATTCAAAGGTAAGATAGTAAAGTTACCATTTTATTTAGAGTTTTTTTAAGAAGTAAGTAAAATCAATAATGAACAAATATTAT